GGGTGGGGGGAGGACCAGGGAGGATGATTCAACCACTCAACCACTAGATGTCGCTGAAAACAACAAATCCTACACACTGTGCCTTTAACATTTGGCTCCTCATAGTTTAAAAGCTGAATCTACACTGTTGTACCTGATCCCAGGTTAGGTGTTTTATGTTGGGGGTGGGGCGGGGTCTCATTGAGTCCACCCGTCCTCACTGTTTCTTGGTCTTCTTTTTGCGCCAGCCGCCGCCCCGCCCTGCACCTGTTCGTCTCACAGGGGGTGGTGTGGAGTGGGACCGCCGGGCCGCAAGTACAAACCTCTTYCCTTTCGCTGCCTGGCTGATGAGTCCTGCGGGGGTCCGGCTGCTCCCCATATCCGGCATGTACCCCCCACGCCTCAGTGAGGACTCTCTCTTGTTGGAATCCAGTTTTGCGAGTGATTGGTGGTTTTTGTTCGCCGGCATGAGCTGCGTACTGATTGAATGCAGCTGATTAAACAGAGTCGGGCTGGTGGAACGGGTCGGACCACCTTTGCATGGGCGGGAGAACTTCATGGTGGCAGGGGGGCCCCAAGCATGAGGCTGGACTGAGTTTGTCTGGCACGTTGGTTCCTCTGGTCTCCAGTTGCTGCTGCGAATCAACTCACTGCAGTCAAGTTGTTAAAAAACGTAGAGAAAAACCTGCCAGCCAAAAACCAGACAGATTATCAGCCGATGTGAYGAAACCGCTCGCTTTAGCTCTTTGGAGACCTTTTTGGAGAAAAAAGAGCCTGAAACCACAGACTTCCCCCTTTTATTACAGCACATCAAGCATTTTCCTTTAAGGAAGTAAAAATCCATAAAGGAAATTCACTTCCTGGTTCTCCCTGTAGCCGAAAATAAAACTCAGAGCATAATCCGCTTCATACTTTATCTAAAATAAGTGCAGTTTGAGTTTAACAGACATCAGTAAAGAGAGCCTGCATGAAAGTCACTSTGCATCAGCTGCATGCTTCTATCCAACGGCACCATTGGATAGTTCTGCTCATCCAGAACCTTCTCTTCCCCAGCTTCATTGTTTCAAATTGATGTTCGGAGCAAGATTTTTTTTTTGTCTCCTAATTGAACCAAAACAATTAAAATGGAGCGTTGGTCGATAGTCTCAGTTCGACCTTTTACAAAGTGAACGCSCTCATTACATTAAAGTTTTCATAATCAATTCCACTCATGCTGCTAGTTCATCTTTCATGCTTTTATTTTGAAAACTTACATCTYAAGTGGAACATTACAGAATTAGAACTGATGTCTGAAGCAAAAAATACTAAAATATTCTTAATATATTTTGGTAAATTTTCAAGTTTTAATTCTGATTAATTATTACAGCCTATATATACTTATACTACAGTATAGAATACAAATACTTTTGTCCTTTTTAAGAGGAAATAAAAGAATAAGCAATAAGAAAACTGGTTTTGGACAATTAGCCTTATSGTGAAAAATCATTAGAGCAGTTAAAATAACAATCCAGTCCTTTTTATTTATTGCTTTTTTTAAAGAAAAAATGTTTAATTAAAAATGCAGGTCTTCTGTGATCGACAGATGATTTGATGCCAGAGTTTAAAATAATCACTCAAATATTTTCACAGCAAATATGGCACTAAAAAGGTTAATTTAACACTTAAATATTTAGGGAAATTAGTTATTAAAGCTGCAACTGTTCAAGAAAAAAAACACAACAAAACAGCAAAAATAATAAATAATTGGAGGATAAAACCTTTAAAAATAAATAAAATAAAACAAAGGAAAAAAGTCGTATGAAATCTTAAACTATGAAAAAAAAACTAAATTTAAAACATTATGGTTAGGTGTAAATTATTACACATAATTAAAGTGTCCCAGATGACTGAATAATATTAATATAAATAAATGTCCAAAATAAGACGTTATGACATGTTTGAGTTGTAGCTTTGATTATAATTAAGATTTTGTGCTAAAATGACAAAGTTGTTGCTGTTTTGGTCGAATCTTGAAGCTAAAAGCTCAGTTTGTGTTAAAAGACTCTGATAATTTAACATATTTTTATTTTAATATTTGTAAACTTGTCTGAGTTTTGTCAGTTCTTGTTTTCTGCTGCTGATTTTGCTGTAATGAGACGAGCATCCAGTGATTTTATTCTCTGCGTTTCATTAAAATCTCTCATATCACATGATATTTTATTAACACAAGATTTAGACCTGTTTAGCCTCCAAATGTCCAAATAAAACCTTTTCTAAACCGACCTAAAATAAATGTGAATCATCAACACACCACAATCCATAACRGGATTTATTTTTCTGTGGCTCATTTAGAAGTCAGATAAAATCTGTAAATGTGTTATTGATGAAAAATTTAGTACTGATTTGCTTCCTGAGGCCAAAGTTGTAATTTTATTGATTACAAAGAACAAGAATTCTCCTCTTTGCTTCCATCATCCTGCTCTACACTTGTTTAGCTGCAGCCTCTATCCTTTAAATTAACTGGAATTTATTCCAGCAGGTGTCCAACTGATCACAAATATTATTAACCTGCAGTTTGTTTGATTTAGTGCAATCTATTAATATTTGTCATCAAAACATTTGTTCTATTGTGCAAACTCAGTCTGAATGCACAAAACTAAAGAAAATGGATTTTATGTAATTCAATAAAAAAGTAAACGRCTAAAATCCAATATTTTTTAAAGCCGACCCGACTACAAACATGTTGCACACAGAAAAAAATAGTATTTAAACAATAAAAAATAACGAATACATTTAAAAATGTAAAAATGCATGATTTTTTTGTTTTTCTCATTTATATAAAAGGTTTTTTATAGTGAATTTAATGAACATAAAATAACGCTAATAATGCTCAGTTTCTGTTATTATCTCTAGATCACATTTTTCATTTGTTACATTTGTTTACAAGCTTCATAATTTTTTAAACCCAAGTTTGTACAAAACTCTTCTGCATCTGTTTTGTTTGATTTTTGTTCCATAAAATTTATTTCTCACAAAACCTGACTTCAGTTTTTCTATTATAGTCAAAATTCACTCTTCAGTGCTTTTAATTTGTAGTAATTCTGTAATTCACTCTTCAGTGCTTTTAATTTGTAGTAATTCTGTAATTCACTCTTCAGTGCTTTTAATTTGTAGTAATTCTGTAATTCACTCTTCAGTGCTTTTAATTTGTAGTAATTCTGTAATTCACTCTTCAGTGCTTTTAATTTGTAGTAATTCTGTAATTCACTCTTCAGTGCTTTTAATTTGTAGTAATTCTGTCCTCTTCTGAAACCACACAAAGCTCTAAAATGTCTCGACACTTTCAAGCAGCTTCAGTATAAAAAGCTGAACAAAATGTTTGTATTTTGTAGAAGCTGAAACAAATAATTGTAGCTTTTCAGCCAGATCTGACCCCAGATCTGACCCCAGGTCTGACCCCTTTTACTTCATCAGCTGGAAGCAGAAGATGATGACATCTGGACCTAAGCCTGGACTCTTAACGCTGATGTGTTGTTTTCTTTTTTGTGTTAGATGGTGTTCCTGTGTGGACTGTTCCAAAGTCACCGTCAGGCGAGCAGCTGAGGAACGAAGGTCTGACTCCTCTGCGGTCGGCCGAGCCGTCCCCGRYCTCCAGGAGGCGGAGTCTGTCCCGTGGTGCTGAGGTGAGGAGCCGCTCTCCATTTCCCCCTCATTGCTTCAGGGGGTCTCTGCTGCCGGCGGGGTTATTTTTGTCTGCATGACACAGAGAAAATCCTCTTCTTTTTAACATCCTTCCAGTTTCAGACCTTAAACCAACAAGGCTGATAAACGTTCGTAAAGACGAGTTTGTTTTGTGGATTTTGTCGCCACAGTAAATCATTGATGCGTTCCGCTTTGAACAAATGTGTCGGAGTAAAGATTTCCGCCTCACCTCTCCTCCTGGTCTCCTGTGTTTACATTCGAGGCGAAGAAAGAGAGGCGCTCGTCGTCTCTGAGAGGTTGGACAGAGCTGCTGTCAGATAAGTGGGTCACACCGTGTGGAGGTGGGACTGAGCCCGATCCCAGGAGCTCTTGGCAGAGTCCTCCTGGCTGTCTGGACCGATCACCAGCAGGAAAAAACAAAACAAAAAACCACAGGTGACTCAGGCAGACTGTGGGCAAGTTAAGGCATTATAAGTTTACCTGCAACCTTACAGCTTGTAATTTACAGCAGGTAAAATAAGTATTGAACACGTCACCATTTTTCTCAGTAAATATATTACTAGAGGTGCTAATGA